GCGGTACTACTGGTATGTGCTACTGGCTACTTGTAAACAGTCCACTTGGGAGTTTAAGCACCACAGCAAATGGTCATGGGACAAAATCTTTACACCGCTCAATGGACAGTTCAGTGAGTTTGGAACGGGCCAGTGACGGCCAACCCTCTCAACCCTCTTCAGGTTGGTGAAAACGCTTGGCTTGCGTGCTTTGCACATTTTGGACGCACCCTTCCTGAACTTCGCTTGGTTGGGCGCTGGTCGATTGGCTTCGGGTGAAGATGGCTGGGAGACTCTATTGGGGTCCCTTGCTCTGGCGAATGCGCCCCGGAGCCGCTGGATGTTGGAAGTGCTGAGCCTCAGCAGTTTGCTCTCTGTGGGCGTGTCCCATGAGACCATGAAATCCAACGCGCTGTTGGGATCCAACAGCTGTGACTCCTGGGGTTGGGAATTTTCTCCCAAGGGCTGGGTCGAAACCATCAGTTCCCAACAACTGAAATCTCAAAGCCGACAGCTTCAACCGCTGTTGGGCCATGGCCAGCGGATGATTTTAGTTTTCCACCTACGGCCACGCAATGGAGCCGGGGCCCTCTTGGAGTTGGCTGTTTTGAGCTTCAACGGCTCCTGGCACTGGTTGGATCTGGGATTGACGCATGAGCTCCCCGCACTGACAGGGCTAAGACCAGCAGTATCGGTGGATCTGGGTGCAGCAGTTCGCGTGCTGTCCAGTGAAGTCTTTCTGGATAGCGGTTGCTAAAGCTGTGGCGCTTTCTGAATGGTTGACCAAAGATGGAAAAAGTGATGTGGAGGATGAACTTCCAGGAAAGTTTATGAATGTTCGATGTTTTCGGTAATCAGGTAATCCAAGAATATCCTTGATGGGAAACTTACCAATGGATGGGTATAGACGGGTGATTCACCAATACTAGAGTCTTGGAGGATAACATGTGTGAAACGTTCAATGCTTGGTGACCACTGTCTATCAGTCTTTAACCCTGCTGTCATTTTGAGATCCAGCCAGGATTATCTCAACACCAAATCCTTGTGTACATCATTTCCCTCACCTCATAGCTGTAGACAAGAGCCATGAACCTGTAGTTGGGGATGAACTTACACTGTCTCTTCTTGCTGGTGAAGCAAGTTTTTTTTTTGTTGTTGGGATAGCCCGCATTACTGTACCCAGTGGGCGAAATCCAGCTAGATTTTGATCTCCTGGCATTGGATTGAGGCATTATGAGCTGACCGGTGGATCTGGGTGCAGCAGTTCGCGTGCTGTCCAGTGAAGTCTTTCTGGATAGCGGCTGCTAAAGCTGTGGCAATTTCCAAATGGTTGACCAAAGATGGAAAAAGTGATGTGGAGGATGAGCTTCCAGGACAGTTTATGAATGTTCGATTTTTTTTTGGTAATCAAGTAATCCAACAATATCCTTGATGGGAAACTTACCAATGGATGGGTATACACGGGTGATTCACCAATACTAGAGTCTTGGAGGATAACATGTGTGCAACGTTCAATGCTTGGTGACCACTGTCTATCAGTCTTTAACCCTGCTGTCATTTTGAGATCCAGCCAGGATAGTCTCTCTCACAGTGTGTTTTTCAATCTGGTTTGCAAACACCCACCGAACTTCTCTGTGTAAACGATCCTGAAACTCCGGAAACAATATTGATTTGGCACAGTATGCCCCAGTTTTGGTCATACCCATGTACCCTCCATCGAACTTATGCTGAACTTCCATATTTGAGGAAGTCATTGAAGTGACGTTTTATAGTTCCAAAAAAGCAGTCAGGCGTTGCTTCAACCTGCTTTTTACTGGACATGTTCGAAATTCTCATGCAGTCAGTTTCACGAAGAGTCTCCGGCAACAGGCTGTGTTTTACATCCGGTGTTGCGGACCAGTGCAACGATTTCTGGGGTTTGCCTAAAGCAAATTGGTCCTCATTTCCCTCACCTCATGGCTGCAGACAACACGTGAGTTGATTCTTGATGTGGTGATTGCATGTGATTGCCATGGTTGTTGGGACCCGGGCGCAGAGAAGAGCCACCAACCGGTAGTTTTGGATGAGTTTGCACCGTCTCTTTCTCCTGAAATTAGGGATTGTTTGTTATTGCGTATATACCGTATAGCCACCTTACTGTGCCCAGTAGGCGAAATCCAGCTAGATTTTGATTGAGGATGTCTTTGCATTGATCCTTCAAGACAGGGCCCCACGTTTTTCCTAGAATTGAAGTTGCCAGTAGATACAGGTTTCAACATTGAAGATCCCAACGTCTAGAATGTCTAGACAAGGATCACCATGCATAGCCACAGAATCCCAGAAACAGCTCGCAGAAAGCTGCTTCGTCCATGCAGCTGGTGCCATGGCAATGGCTTCTAATTCCATGGCTGCCATTAGCTGTAGGTGGAACTGCTGGGATGTTTGTTGGGGTGGTGAAAAATCTCCATGGTCGGATGTCATTGCAAGGGTTTCTCGGACTCCTTGCTAAGAGTGATAAACATTTTGCAAAGATCTGCTAAAGCCATCCAATTCAACCATTTCTGGTGTTTTGTTTGGTATCCATGCATGATCAAGCATGTAGACATCGCTGGCTGAGCATGGGGTAAACTTGAGCTTCCGTTTCTGCTCTCTTGGATCAGCGACAGCAAACATTCATAACAGCAACATCAACTTCAGCACAGAAGGCTCAGGTTTTTTGGTATCCGTCTGGCTGCACGGAAGTTGAGCCGGGACTGAATGTGACTGGTATATTATTTGAAGAATTGCCAGATCGTTCTTTTGTTTGTGGTACAAAAGTTGATAAGTTGTTCAATTTGCAAGAACCACAGATGCTGATTCCAGAAGTATCCTACAAAAGTTGATAAGTTGTTCAATTTGCAAGAACCACAGATGCTGATTCCAGAAGTATCCTGAACTGCTAGAAGATCCTGTAGTATCCTGTAGTATTCTTATGGGCAAACAGCACAGACAGAGTGCTTCTGACAGCAGGTTCCGCATATGTTCCGCATTGGTTCAGCATAGTTCGCATTGGCTCTGCATTGATTCTGGATTTGCGTATGTTGCCTCCTGAGCCATGTGGGCTGTGCGGGTTTTCCTCATTGTCACGGTGGGTGGCTATCAGGTGCCCAAAAAGACCTGTCTGCACGGGGGAATGTTGAAAAATGGTGTGGGATGAGAACTGAAGTGCTGCGATCACAGGTTTAGAGGTCTGTGACTTCAGGTTTTAGTTGTGATGACACATGATTGATTAGATTGTTTCCTGTCAATAGTGATTTCTGGTCGATCATTCAAAGCTTCTGCGATTCCGCTCGTTGTATCATATTCCCACGCGTCAGGTGTTAGCAATTCTCGGCCATATTCCAAAGATTTCCAAAGATTAATCCATTAATCCCAGAATCAAAATTTTACACGACTCCAGTCTCAGACAGCAGGGGTTTGATACTCTACAATACTCTACATACGTTGCACAGGATAAGGAAAGGCAAGTGCATCTAAGGCCGCTGCTGGGGGGGATGGGATTGGATGAAATTCCACACGACTTTCGCTTGAATCGATACTGGGGAGTATAAAAAATCAACAGGGGCCCTCGGAAGCTCCATCACGAAATGGATTTGATTGAAAATGGGGTAATTACTCAAAATCCAATGAATTAACACCATTTCATTTAATACAAAAATGCTCGATCCTGTTTTTTGCACCAACTCTTATATCCCGTTCTATCCCCATGAAATCCGCAATAGGCAAAATTCCCGATTGGAATTGGTTGTATATATCCCACTGTATCCCATACCAATGGAATATCCTAAATCTGGAAATCGGGCTTTGATCAAACCCTTTGAAGCTTTCCTCATAGGGCTTCGGCAAAGACCTTGCCCAGCAAACAGGCGGATGGGCGTGACAGGTGTTGGGCCATGGATAAGATGATATTGGCTGTACAGATATGTAAAGATTACCGGGAGAATTGGGATAACTGCTTGGGATTTTAGATCTTTGTCTTTGGCCGGACCGGATTGGTTCGCCCAAGCCTTCACATTTTCATGCCCCAGTTCTTTCCATGTTTCCAGACATTGGCCAGGCTTTTGTGGCATCAAATTCACCACACCAACCACACTGACAAAGATGGATCAAATGTCAATCGGGATGAATTACCAGACAGACCCAGGCCCATTTCGCTACATTCATCTTTTCGCATAGTCAAACTTTCCATATCTTTCCATCCATTTTGTTACATAGCTAAACTATCTTAAACTTATAGGAACTTATAGGAACTTATAGGTATTGTTTGGAAGCCAAGGCAGCTGCCCCCATGCCCTACCCACTTCCCCTGCGCGGAGGTGATCTTTTTCCGGCACTGCGTCCGGTCCACCAATCGCCAGGCTGATGAATCCACTGGAAACCGCGGCAGATGTTTTTTTTGGGCCAATTTTTTGAAATTGCGGCTAGCATAGTATGCATAGTTTTGGCAATACTTGAAATTGAACTTTATATATCTTTATATCACTATATTGCCAAAACATGTGTACAAACACACATGTTCCGTTGCTCTGGCTCAATTATGCTCAATTTCCAAACCCATCCTGTGTTTAACTTTGTTTCTTCCCTCAACTTGACATGACACCCAGCGGCACAGGTGAAAGGCGTCGATGGCTTTGGCTTTGCTGAGAACTTTACGACGCCTGACCACCATAAACCATGAATTTTGATGAAGCTCTTCCCATGTTGTGTTTATGTCTGGAGTCGTCAGATGTTGGCAATACTTGGCCATTTTGTGTTCCTAGCCCAAGTCCATGAACAACACGCGACGAGTATTCAGGACAAGAGAGGCAGAAAGTACCAAGTGTGTTTTGTTTCCACTAGGGTTCACTGAGAATGAGGGTTGCAATCAGTTGATTTTCTTCTGGGAATCCTGATGGATCTTGATGTATCACATCCGAACATGTTTCTTCATGAAGAATGGGTATCATCTTGGAATCTTGTCCTAATGGTCCTAATGGTATCATGTGGGAGCTTTCCCATTGTAGCCAGAGAGGCGGGTCAACACCTCCACAAACAAGAGGTTGGAGGGGTGAACATCTCGACTTTTCATGTGTGCTATTCTGCAATCAGCATCCCAACAAAATTGACGGTATTTCATACTGTAGTATTTGTTCATGTCCATGTATGTTTATTTTCAGACTCTCTGCCTATGATATCATAAACAATTATTGATGATATCAAGTATGCCAGTATGCCTCTTCAAAATGAATAGATCCAGCACAAGACCAGGGTTTCTGAAAAGAACTCACCAGTTTTCAGGGTCATCGCTCCAGGAACCGGTCCCTGCCCAATTGGCAGACGCCGGAGCGCTGGTGCACCGCACAAGGGGCAGAGATGATGGAGACCTGGCAATCATTAAAGCAGATCTACGTAGATCTACCACATTGCTCAATCCTTTGGAAATCCCAACTTTGAAATGTGGAACTCTCGAAATGACCTTCCAAAATCATCCAAAATGAGAAATCCAGGGCAGAGATGGGCAGGGTGGGTTCAAGGAACACACCGGCAAGTGGTTGGCACAAACCCGGTTTCCTTCCATCACCTCCAAGACTCTTCAAATGATCCTTGGCAAATGGGCGCACCACATCAATCCATGAGCCTGGCGGCATCTCCAAAATAAGGGACCAAAAGGTGTACGGTAGTTGGGATTCCACGCAGAGACTGGTGGGTTGGTGTGTTGTGGCTAGTGTCGACTTTGTTGTTTCATTTATGTTTATATTTATGAATCATATGAAACGATATTAAATGCAACATGTTGTAATTATCGCGACATACTGTATCGCAAAAATATGGTTGGATTGGTAAATGCTGGACGAACCAATAGGTCTCCCAAAACTGGCTAGATGAATCTCCCAACATTTTACCCTGAACGTTGTACTACTGTTTGCGGCAGATTCTATCAGATTCTGCTAATCATTTCCCATCATCTCTATGGGTCATCCCAGGATCTCAGATGTCATGAACCGGGACGCGACCTCTGCGAATCATTTGCTGCAAGGTCTGGCCAAAAAAGATCCTCAGCTACTGAACCTGGCACGGCTTGGGGTGGCAGACTATCCCATTCCCCAACCAAGTTTGAACTATATCATGACATCATTTGAATACCATTCTCCAAAAAGGATCTGGCAGACTCCTTCATTAAAATTGATGATTTTGGCCAGAAAACACCCCAGTGAGACCATTGGTTGAGGCTGTTGAGAGGGCCGACCGCCCTTTTCCACAAAACTTTACACACGTCAACCTTTCTAGCCTAGCCCAAGAATGGCGAAAGTGAGATTAAAAGACGTGATGGGTCCAAAGAAATGAGTGAAATTGAAAGCTGGGAACCTCGCAACCACTATTAGTATCTTATAGGTCACTATTTGCTTCATTGCGCAGGCAGTTCATTGGCACAACTTGAAGTTTAACGGGAAGCCTCAATGTCAAAGTGTGATGGTAAAATCATGTTTCAGGAATTAAGATGTTTCAAACATGGGATACGCAATGGAAAGACATGGGTAGAGCCAGAGCATGAATTTTGCTTGTAGCAGCGTGTGCGCTCAGAACGAAACCTATGACTTCACAGCTGCTTGGTGCATTATTTTGTTGCGGCGGTAAAGCTCTCATGTTTGCAGATCTCATCATTTCGATCAACCAGAAGCCAGAAGATGACCCGATTCAAGAGATGAATACAGTTTCCCGTGTGGACATGTTAACTGTTAGATTGTGTGAGTTCAAGTCTCTGAACTGTGGTTTTATAAACAATGGAATATATTGACATGTTGGCAGACATATCCAATTTCATCTAAAGTCCATATAAACTTGAACCATGCAAAACCCATCCCAAAGTGATTCCCCAGAGGACTGAACTACCTCAGGTGCAGTTTCTGCCTCACCTGTTCCACTCCTTCGGACATGGCAGAACTCTATGCACCTGGGCCTTGTTGCAGAGCCCTATGACCCTGACCTAAAATGTGGCGGGATGGGGGGTAAGAGTCACAGTGTTTAAGAACTCTAACGACTATGCTGGACTATGCCTCAGAAGAATCATCAGATAAACGATCCAACAACAAAGGGTGCCGGATATCTGTGATATCTCACACAACAAGGTTCACCGGAAGGATGGGCGCTTTCTCACTCTCAGCTTCAGAGGTACGCCGAATTCGAGCCTGGTGAAGAAGGAGTCCGCAGAGTTGTTGCTCTCCACCACGATGCCTATGGGTGTTGGACGGCTTCATGAGCACATGAACACCACCAGGTGCGTCAGTGCCGCCAGTGAAAGGAGGTTCAGTCCAGGCTTTGGTGGTCTCAGTGTCTTGTTTTTGGAGGCCGAAGCAATACTTGGAAAATCAATGAACACGTTTTCAGAGACTGAGCCCCAACATGTGTCGTTTTCCAAACAGATTTTGAATGCAATTTCACTGCGAATATGTCAACCCATGTGAACCAAAAGATGAAAAAAAGCTAGTTGGACAGTAAAATGCAGTAGATATCAATAGATACGGTAATAATGATGAATATTGGACATGTGACATGTTTTTTTGTGTGGCCCAGTTTTCGATGACCATCCACCATCTCAGGTATCGCGAGGCCCTCCGGACCTTGGAAACTTTCGTAGGCCGTGGCGAAGCAGGTCCCCTGGAGGCGCCCCATAATGTTATCATGGCATTCCCAATTTGGAGCACTTGATATGGATCAAAAATGATCAAAATGGATGTCCGGACAACTGTGATATACTGTGATGGTCAATGTATGTCAATGTTGGATGACCTAAATCTGTGGGGGAATTACGCGCCGCAAATTTGGACCACGGCTGGGATTCCGTGGGCCGCCAGTGCTGAACCATACCTAGATCTTTGACGACTTGTTTGGTTTCTTTCGGGCAGGCCACGTTCAAGAGATGGACCTATGTATTGTATGGGAGTAGTTTCCTTCCCTTTTTCTCTTGCCCCTGCGTTCCAGCTGTAGTAGTTTCAAACTGCTGACCCACAAAGCTACTCAGATATCTCAGATTATTGAATAAATATATACTGTACTCAAGATATATAATCAGAAATTCCAACACAATCAATGGGAATTCCAGGATCCTAAAATGGAGGTACTGTACCATATAAGGCCAAATTTTGTGTGGGATATTCCCTTACATAGGCCTTATATAGACCTTATATATGGTAGGTACCTCCAATCAATCGGTTCCTGTTGCATGGCCATTGACACAATCAGATCAGCGCTGCCATCCTTGTTACAGGACTTGCCTGTGCCTTCGGTATCAGCAGATGGAAGTGTGAAACTCGGTGGCGCCAGTGTCATGAGATGCTCGGCAACTTCGCCTCCGGCAAACTGATGGCCAACCCCTCACAAATCAGTGGAAATTAGTAGTAATAGTACTGAGATCCCACATAGAAATGATAGTGATAAACAATAATGGGGATATTATTACTAAATATTAATATCAATATTACAATAATGGGGATATTGGGGATATTGTTAATGGGATATCAACACTAATAATGGGGATCTCCACTTTTAAAATGGGAGTGCAATTTTATCATGAGATCTTCCTGGAAGTTGGTGAAATTATGGCCCGGTGTGGCCTGGTCAAATCAGGGAATCAATCCGGGAATCGCCTGGCAACCATTGGTTTCCATGTGCTTAAAAACCGGGTTGATATGTTGAACGTAGGTATCGTAAACTTTGGAAAATGCCTTAGAAGGTGTTTTCATTACTTTTCTATCATATTATGTTGTGTGTTTTTCCTTTCGATGTCCTTTATGAGAATGTGATTGAGAATGCATATTATGAGGTAATTACGTAATACTACGTACGCATATATATATATAACATATATACTATATACAGTAATTATACGCGCAGACCCCCGTCTCACCCAACATAATCAGGAATGGTGTCAGGATTTCATTGGGAAGATCAAGAAGGGTAGAATCTCAAGTCCCACCCCATTAATCTTCGCATTCAGTTGGGAAGACCAAGAAGGGTTTAGGGTTTGGGATTTAGGGTTTGGGATTTAGGGTGTAGGGTTAGGGATGAGATGATGGTAATGATGGTGATGGTGATGGTGATGATGGTGATGGTGATGATTGTGGTGGTGTGTAAGAGTGTCGCACAAGTCCCTAGGCTGTGCGTTCCGCTGTATAACATCAAGTTAAATGATCATGCAAAATCGTTCCAGTTTTACTTTTTTCCATGTGCTCAGCTCATGCGGACATGATTGCCGACAAAGTCGGGCAACACGAGGGGTTTGCCCGTAGTCATATACACGGTAGAAAGTCACAACTCTTCACAACTTAACTAAATTACCACAGATATGTCATGATACATCTTTAATGCCTGGATCCAAAGACCACAAGTTATAACCGCCAGCCATTTTCTTCGACTTGGCCCAGGATTCTTCGCACAAAATCTGATGTACGCCTTCGCCTCAGGCGTGGCACGCCAGGCTCTGCCTTTTGCCTCGTTTTTTTTTCGTTGCGCCGCAGGCATTCCCTACACGTCGGCCACCATGGAGCAAAGATACTCCTACGTTGAATGGGTTTATTTCTACCGGAAGGCAGGGAGAGAATGACAGTAATGACAGCTTCAAGAAGAGTTTTGCTTTTTGTGTGGATGTAGCCGCCCCTGGAGCCGGTTGCAAAGCTTCCGGCTGTGTCAATCTTGCAGCCTAGTCACTTTTCGGTTGCTATTCGGCTGTGGATCATTTCGCCCAAACTGTACCCTGGTGAACAGCGGTAATATAAAAAGTCAAAAACAGTCAAGAGATGTCAAGAGAAAACATACCTCGGGACTCGGGACCTTGGGAAGTTCATCTGTGCAGGTTCTATCCCAAGTCCCTGCGAAGCTGGCAGTCCAAAGGGCCTGTGGCATTCTCAAAGCCACCTGTCAGCAAACAAAACCAATGGTGAAACTGAAATCCAAACAATCTTAACAATGTGTTTTTTTTTGAAACATTTTTTTTCACATGAGAGATCATTGCTGTTATTGAATGTTGTTGATATAGCACCAAAATTTGGGGGTTGTTTTTGTTGTAACCAACTTTGTGTTGGTCAGTGGGAGCTCTTGGGAGGGGCTGAGTAGACCCACAAACATCAAGCCTGGGGAATTCATTTTTGGGGAACTCACTATATCTTTTCTTGGATGCAAGATTTGTTTGAGACAAGAGCACGGCAACTGGATCCAAAGGTCTCACTTTGTTCAAGAGCATTTCTTGAGTGTGAGGAGTGAAATGACTTATCCATTGGTCAGTTTTCTTGATCTCACAGCTGGACATTGAGGTGATTGATGACTTGCAGCTTGGTGCTACGGTTGGGGGATTTCCTAGTGGAACGACAAACTGTTGTCAACTTACAACACAAAGGGCGCATATAGATAGCTGGAAGCTTAGGTTTCTATTATAATCATAATGTACATACAATTCCACCACATACCCAGGTATTTGAAAAACACTGCGATAAAAGTTCCAAGCCAAGCTTAGGCGAAGTCCATTGGGACCCAATATGATGTACTCGGGCCACGACGGTCCGGGGCTCAGGAATGAATTGGAGTCACCAACCCGCTAGTTCCAGATCTTTTATGCAGCTAAAAAGGTAGTGTTCCATATGCCCTTCCAGTTGCTGATCCCCTGACCTTCCGTGACCTTGTAGAGATGGCCACCATGCTACCGTCAGGTGATCTTGACGCCCTGGCGTTGGCTTTTCAACTCTCCTGGGAGGCCGGCAGCTATGAATTTTCTAGGTGTCACTAGTCGACCTGATATGTTGATTGGATGAGACTGGAAAGAAATTGGATGAAATTGGCTTCAAAGTCACGTTTCATCGGTGTTTTTTTTGCTTCAAGATGATGCTATGACTATACCAGGTCCAACCTTGTCCGAAAATTCACTATTCCGGGTAGTCGTGGGTGTGCTAAGAATGGGCAGCCCCCAAAAATATATTAAAATACATCAACTGACTCATGATTTCTGCGAGGATCCCAGGGAATTGGGGCTTCTCTCATCTTTTTTCTCCCTTCTCCACAACTGTTGTTGCTTCTGATTGAATCCAACTTTCTGCCCTTTGTACTTCAATTCTTGCTTGGTCAAAGTCTCCTTGATCACTTTACCAGCCTAAAAACTTGACATCCAACCAACAATGCGTTTGGACGTTTGATTTCCTATTGGAACTTGTAATTTTTGTGTTCCATTCGAAGTTTCGAAATTCTACTAGTTCATTACAATTTCATATTATGTTTTCATTATATAATTTCATATGAAACACTTAAAATATACCGGTATGAGTTTCCTCTAGGATTTCACGGGGGTTAACCTAAGGAGGGTTGATTTTCTGTCCTTCGAAAAGCTCGAATTTGTTGAACTGATGCTTTCGAAGTTCCCCCAATTTTCTACAGAACAACATTTGGAGACCTCTGAGTCGTAAGATCCTGATTTTCTGGGTAGTTTAGGTGCCCAAAATCCAGAAGCAGAATTTTAGCATCTCTGGGAGTACGTTCATAGATTTTCTCTGGTCCTTGATTTTCTAGAGAGGCACTGGTAGGTCATTTTGTTTTGTTTAAATTCGGGGGTACCCAATTTTTATCGAAATGGGATGGAAAGTTCAAAACTATGCAATGCAAGTAGGGCGGTGTTTTTCTAAGGAAAAATGCTAAACATAGCTTCGAAAATGCACTTCTTGTAAGTTGCCATTTTTCTAGATACTTCAAACTGGTTTGATGTCTGTAGCTAAATTTTCTTGGGTCCCTAATTTATACAACCTACATTTTCTACTAGAAAATCACAGGCCCCGGGCCCCGACCTGACCCGGTGAACTCGTACAGGGATCTTATAATTATAATTCGATACGATTCTAAATACGTAATATAATTGTAATATACTACATAAAAAATGACGTGATATGTCTACTATAATTATATATGATAATTATGATCCATTTGTCCTCCATGTTTCATCGATTTCAGCATTTCCTCGCCAGGCTCCGCCCTGGCCCGGCACCTCGCCGACGCCTCCGGGCTCGGCCTTGGCCTTCACAGTGCAGCCGGAGGAAGTGAAGGCGTCACATATCAAGAGATGTAGAGTGATTTTATTGTATAATATCTTAATTGTATTTTGTTTGTTATATGATATGTGTATATTTGTCTGTTTAGTTACATGATTTTTCCCCAAACACTGTGGCCACACTGAGGCGTTCTTACGGTAACAGTTAAGGCCCGGTGTTCAATCGAGGTGGTATCCGGGGCCTTTGGCATTTTCCCTGTAAATTTCTGCACAACATGCCTCTACATGTCCATGTGCATTTCCACTGCGCAGGCTCGCACATCGTCATCATCATCATCATCATCATCATCCACAGTAGCATCATCAGCAACATTATAAACACATTATCCTTTTACGACCCCAACACTGTTTGGGGTCTCTTGCCGGGATAAATCTGTTTATATGTAGATAAATCACGCTTTTTCAATACATTTCTTATATATATATATTGAATTATATAGATAGCATGTTACTATACAATGTATCTTTGGGTAAACCAACACGGTGTGCTAGCAAAATCATTGTTTGAGATGCTGCGCCCATTGGACATGAGACATGTCCATTCTGAAATAATAGGGTGATCCAAAGATGGGGTGAGTGAATTTACCCAAAGCAACCCAGTAACTCAGCTATTCTGGCAACATCTTTGGGTTTTTTTTAGGGCACCAGTGTGAAATGACACACAGACTTTAGATGTTTCACAGGACCACCAAGATCCCAAGAACTTGGACACCCACAGGCGGAGTTCCTCTACCCCGTTTTCAATGGCAGCGCAGCGATCGACTTGCGCAGCATGGCCACGAGCCCGGCCAAAGTGGATCTCGCGGCAGTGGAGGTGTGGTCAACTTGGAGAAGTTGGAGGCCTATGAAGAAACCGAAGAAACCCAATAAAAATGGGGATGTCATGGGATATCATGGGATATCAACAAACAACCAGGCCTCAGGTACGGATCGGATATGATATGTATATACATACAACATACACAGTAATAGTTATGTACATATGTCATATAGACATTGCTGACGTGTGTCTACAGGAGCGCGTGAAGAAACTGATCCGCCTCTATGCAGGCGTGGCCATGCCAACCAGCCCTCCGGTAATCCAAGTTGGCAATGGGACATTCATGGAAACTCTGTAGAAGTGGAGGTTTTTGATGGGAAAATCAGGGAACTAAAAATCATCATTTTTGGGAAGTTATGCCCATGTTTGTTGGTCATTCCCCCCTCAACAACCTCCCCTTTTATCATTATGACTGGTCACAGCCTGGCACCTCTGTTTTCCTTGGTTGGATCATTTAAGTCTCCTGGCAATTCCATGCTGGCTAAATCAAAATCCCCAGAGTCTGATTACATCTTATTACGTTTTATTGGTTACACACCGTTTGTTTGTTCCTCATTTTTTTAAATTCCACCTTCTGTTGGTTGAATATTGGCTGAATGCAATATTTTTGCCACCACATGGTGGATCTTTCTCCAGCTTGACCAGGCCAATCCTGCATCGATGCCTGCCAGGGTGCCTTGGCTCCGAGTTTGGGGTTTATAGCAGCCATGGTGAAATCGGGAATAATTTATGATTGGGTTACTAATGGGATCTAGATCTAGTTGATACTCGCTTTGGATGCTTCTTTTTGTGTACAATGAGGAGAAAATCTTGCCTAACTAATATCTAAAGCTAAACTATTCGTTGCACTTGTGGCGCATTGTGCTCTCCAATGTCAAGTCTTAGTTGGACCCGACTGAAGTCCGATCTTTTGTCGCCTCAGGAGCCAAGAGCATCTAAAGGTCTGAGCCAGAGGTTCCAGGGTGCCTCGTTGTGAGGCATATCCTGAATGTACATACTACATCAATCTAATTCATCTACATCCGAATCAATCAGTTTCAAGGATGCCCCGTGTGGTAGCATCCCGCAGTGTCTAAGCTGGTCGAGTGGAAAATGACATGCTATGCTTCGGCTTGCCCAAGCAGGGGCGAATCACCAGTGAATCTTTGGCCAGGCGATGACTGGTGCGACCTCCCAGCAGATCTGGTTCACTACCTGGAGCCTTGGACAGATTGAACGCTGCTGTGGTTGGCTATACGAAACACTGTTTGGGTACAAAACCATACAAAACCTCTACGTATTGGTAACAAGTACCTGGCGATAAGGTCTGAACATGCACATACACACACATATATATGGTGATTGAGGAGGTAATGTTTGAGATGCGATCTTGGCAAGAACTCGCAGTACTTAAGGATACTTAAGGGATGCGTCCAAGAATTATTTGGTAATGCTGGTTATATCTTTCATCACGTTCCATCCGCTTTTTTGGAAGGATGATGCTCGGTGCGTTCCACTTGGTTCGTATTTTGAGTAGCACACCTCGCGCTGCGAGCCAGTTCTGCGAGTTGAGCATTTGGCGAGTCACACGCGAATTTATCCCTGAAATCAATGCGAACCCCAATAAATTATTGTGCCCTCAACACTTCAGCGACTGGATGATTGAAGCCCAACAGAAATTTTCATTATTGATACTAATGATTGGTATATAACGATTCGCAACAACTATTGCAACCAGCTGATTGAAATAAGCTGGATACACCAACCAGATCCAACATCCCTTTGGGGGATTTTGGTGACTGCAGGATCCATGGGAGGAGGCGGCGCCGTCAGAGGGCCCTTGGCGCACCCTCGAGCTGGTAGCATGCCTGCGGCTCCTTCAAAAGGTGCTCCATGCCTCATGGATTTTGAACACCGGAATAGATTGATGGGACTTGTAGATTATTCCCATATTTGGGGGTGCAATGTTGAGATGAGGCATACATCACCAACTACCTTGGTAGCAAGAAAATAGCTACTTGGGATCAAGAACACACACACACATAAATACATATTATATATATATTATATATAAAATTGCTGTAAAAGAAATACAATTCTTCTTGGCTGCTTTGCCCTGTTGGTTGATCATGCCTCCAGATTTTGGTTGGTGCAACCTTCATATTATCCATTTTTGGCTGGTCAAATCTAGGATCAACAAGGATCACCGGGCCATCGGCCAGGCATTGAGACAGGTCTGTGAGGCGCTGCGGCAGCAGCCGGCCTTGCAACATGTCCTGGTGGGAGTTCACAGCTCGCAACGCTGGGAGGAGCAGGGGAAAGGTGGCTGGGAAGCTGATATTCATGTTCAGATATGTTCAGACATGTTTGATACATTTCTATACATTTCTCATGATGTTTATTGATGTTCAACCCTTCTCACTTACTTCACCAATCATTGGGTATGGAATGGCTCAAAATACAGTGAGCTCCCAAAAAACGGACAGGACGCCCTGCGCTCCTGGGACTCAGAGCAACAGCGCCTTTTAGGAGGCGACGGGCGGCGTGGAGACAACGAGTGGCTGCCAATGAATCTGCTGGTTGGTTCGTTCGTTGGTTCGTTTGTTGGACTTCAACTGCTTCCAGTCAACATATGTCAACAGAATTCCTTCCGAGATTGAAGGACTTGAAGGGGTGAACAGGGGACCCGAACAGGCTGGATGCCTCCCAAATGTCGCAGTCACGCGGGGCGTTTACCCAGCGAGATGCTGCACGGAGTGCACCTTGGCCACCTTTGACCATCAGTGTGGGTCAGGAAGGCCCAACAAATTGGGAATCACTTGGAATCACATGGAGTCACCATCAAAAATTGGGATATATATATATATATACATATGTATATATATATATGGATTTATTGTGATTTAAACAGCTACTGGCCATTGGGTTCAAGTTGAACGGCTGTGACTCTCTCTCTCTCTATAATTATATATACTGTACGTGACGTCTCTTTGGGGGGTGATGTGACTTTCGTGACACATTGTGGCCATGCAGTGATGTGACTTTCACGGACCTGATGTGACTTTCACGAGCGGACATGCTCGGACCAGCTGCAAAATGAAGTTGATGGGTTCTTGAGCGGTCATTGCAGCATGGACATCCATTGGTTGAAGGAAATGTATGGAAATGTTGTGACCGCATCAAGGGCCGTGTCCAGCCAATACGGGTAATATCGGGTAATTAATACCTTTGCTGGCTGGTAAAGCCACCAATGAGTTGGGAAGACAACCGAGAATCTTTGAGGGATAAAATCTAAAAGCAACAATATGGTTAGTATAGTCTATATTATTAGTCTATAATGTTTGTACATCGAAGATATCTATTGTGATTACAAACAAGTTCATGTTTATGGGGTGGGTTGTAATCAGCTATGGAAACATGATGTCCCCACATTGATTTCACAGTACAGAAACCACAGGATTTTTCATTTTGACCCAAACATTGTCATTCTACAGCTAATCTTTACTCCTGACGACCCAGGTCTGAACACTTCTCCCTGCTTGCACAGCGGGGCCGAAAGAACCCCAGGCGTGGGCCGAGCAGAACATGGTGGATTGTGGTCCATTGGGGTTGTTTCTGAGCAAATCATTTTTTCCATCTCCGCCAAGCCAGTTTATGATGCATCGAAGTACAGAGATGCCAACTCGATGCTGCAGCCGTTTGTGTTGCTATCTTGGGCCCATCCAAAAACACAGGGTCTCGCGGTGCCCCCAAAAAGCTGCCTCCTTGAAACCCATTCAGTCTGTGGTACTCGTAGATACACATACCCTGAGACAGAAGATGTTTTACCTAACAGAAGAAGCCGAAGAAGCCCCTTCAATAACATCGGAGGATCTATATAAGGTTGGCTAAATGATTGCAACAGGCTAGCCAAGTTTTCCCATTGACTTGAAGCATTTCCAAAGCAGCCGGAGGTCAGTCACCATTGCTGGCCATCTCTAAGAAGAGTGGATGGGATGACCCTTTGATCATGAGGCACAAAATTTGACCATGCAGAATCACCCATTTTGTCCTTGGTTTCCCGTTATGGTCGCTGATATGATTCCCATTTCTGTTGGTGTATCCCCCAGCTGGCAGGCGCTGGGTTTACAACTTCCAGAGCACATGGCGTATTGCCATGAACTCAGATGTGGTATGGGTCAAATTGTAAGACCCATGGGACTACAGATTTTGGCAACGTGAGGGGTATTCACCATGCTATGTTTTTTCACATCCGAAATCCGAAACAATCCAATCATTTTGAGGATGTGAACATCAGAGTGATAGGATTAAATTAAACTAAATTGCTGCACACCCCTTGTTGGCTCATGTTTTCCCTTCCAGGTACTGTCTTGTGTAATCTTATGTACATAGGTACATGTACAGTATAAAGAAACCTACAATTCAAACAACTATGTCCACAAGAATTCCATGCTGCCCCGTGTTTTCTTAATCAAGGCTCTGAAGTTCCTGGAGTTTTTGCAGGTTTTGGCACTGGATGGCATGGATCTCAGGGGGCTGGTGGTTGAGCTTCAGCTTCAAAGGATCAGAAAGTTTGGTTTTATTCCATGGAAAAAGTATATAATTAGAACATATTAGAACCCTTAGAAACTGGGAAATTCTTCTTATGACCCATCCCCCACAAGTATAAACCTTATAAGGTCCTCCAAGCAGTCAAGATATGTTTCTCAGTGTAAGACACGATGACCATGAATGACCAACAATGTGTGGAGTTGAATGACAACGGACACGTTTCCCACTTTCTTGGTGTGAAAATGGATGGAAAGACTTAGGCACTACTCAAGGGTCCAGACCCTTAACATTTGAAGCGCAACAGGATTCTTTGTGGGAAGGAAAGTTCATGGGGGTGGCATTTACTCCGATGTGCACGGAATTCATTGGGATGAGGGACCCTGCTCACCAATCAGATCTCTTTGCACTGCACATGAACATGCCTGAGGATTTGGCACCATGTCAGATCTGGCTTATTGGTTACATCGTCGGAGCTACCGTGAGGCGTGAAGTTGCCAGAGGGACCCAGGGTACAGCCTTTTCCAATACAAGACGCTAGATATAACATGATATAACATGATATAACATGATATAACAATGAGTTGAGAATGAAAGGATAGAACAAGTTTGCCTTGAAACTTGGCGCTCCAGCCCTTGGTTTAAATAAAAAATCAGAATAACTATGGTTGATTTCACAGGACTTGCACGGTTGCCTCTGTTTCTAGCTGCAGAAACATGGCCCATAGGGATCACCAAAGCAATGGAAAACAACTTGTTGAATGGCATTTGGATTGGCCTAAGGAAAAAACCATGGAACATTGGATTCATTGGATAGGTGAGCATCCTACATCATGCTACGCCCAAGCTGCCAAGTTCTGGGATCACCAGAAGACCAGGATTTTGTGTGAACATGTTCCGATCATTTTGGATCCACAAAAAGCGGGCAGGGTGCCCTCACGGAGCAAGAGATCTGGACTGCAGTGGCCAAAGAGCCACCGATTTTCAGGCGCCGTGGCGTCGGCGGGTGCGGTGACAGGGTTTCTAGAGGTTTCCATGATCCTTCCATCCAGGTGAAGCTCATCGCAACGTATCGCCAGGGAGGCAAAACTGTAAGGGCCAAGGTCAATGATTTCATCATGTCATCGACGTATGACTCCCTGAAACAACATCACTCTGACATACTGTGACTATAGTTATAGAAGAGGGATGGATGGTTGATTCACAGGAAACCATACTGGAGTTGTTTTACTTCAGATTAGTGAACTTCTTTCTGTTTTGCTTGGCCCAGAACAATGGGGATGTTCATAAAGCTCAAGTTTTTGATAGATGTTGTTTCTTTCTGCCGCATGTAGTTTTGGCATTTTTGGACACCATCGTGTCAACCCTAGATGCATAGAGTAAAATGAGTGGTCTCAGTGGGATCTTCCCCAGAAGCTCACAACATGGACCCGTGAACTCAACAACCCCCTGAAGTTCATGAACTGCCAAAATTCGCCACTTTTTTTTCGGTTCCCCCCAAAAGCATTCTCCAGATTCTCCAGGATCGCGGGGGTCAACGTCACGGCGCCGTTGCGCCACGACGTGGCAGCCCCCAGTGTGGTGGATGCCGCAGCGCGCGGCCGTGTGCCTGGGCAGGTGGGGATGATCCAATAGGAAGGGCGCGGAAAAATACTACTAAGACGATGAATCATGTGAATGTATAAGTGTAGTTCATTGGCATTGATCCAGCTCGCAATTCGGGATTTCAATTATCAGGGCGAATTCACTCCACTTGTTATGATTGTGAAGCCCATAGCCACAGTTTTCCAAGGGCATTTGCCGCCATCACGACATCTAATAAAAGCTCTGTGTTCCACACCGCCAAAGGAGCCCTTTCGGATGGTGGAAGTGGGCGTCTTTCAAGGCAATTTGTCGAAACATGTTTGGCAGCGAAGCGCCACATTACCAGGATCCGTCACGGGTGAAGGTAGCAACGCTGGGCCGGCCTTTGAACTAGCGTTTTTTCCTACAATATAATATAATATAATATAATATATTAATATAATTATATACAGAAAGTCAATTCGATTTGTTGAGATTGCTTATTTGGGATTATGTTGGTCTCTTCTAACATGTAGCCGTGTTAACAAGTTCATCTAGCTGTGGGAAATAGGTGCTTTTGCATGAAAACACTTGCCAAAAGAAAGCGCCAGGTGATCGATGAAATCAGGTACTGTAAAAGTCGGAACCGAACTGGTTTGGACACCAAAATTTGGTAAAGCTTGAAAGTGACAAGTTCTACCCGAAACTTTTGCAGATGGGGTACCAGGGTATTGACCCAGACCGACCCATATGTTGCTTAGCGACTTGGCGTCAGGAGCCTTTGAGATGCATTTGGTCGACCACTGGGGCACGCCTGAAGTGCCCATGTCACAACGTGGCAAGGCACGAAGTATGTTGGCTGGTGATGGCTGGTGGCTTCACACCCCCCAACTTTAAAACAACTGACCCATGCTGACCCATTTTGACCACTGGTGAAACTGCCAAGACTCGATGTTTCTAGAAATTTGGGCCTTTGAATTCGTCGCTTTTACCTCTACTACCTTCTAGACCATTATAGACCTAATTTGCTTCTATGGGCAACTGTCAGTGACTTGCAACGATTCTCATTATCCTCATCCAAATTTCAAATCAGCCCTTCTTAGTGGTTGTTGGCAGACAATAAATCCTAATGTAATTTAATAAGGCCTTAGAGGGTTCATAAACCACCAACAACCATTAATAAGGATTAGGGAGTTCCTTCATAATACATTGGTAATAATCTCCTAATTGATTATAGTTATAGATGACCAAGACAGAAAATCCAAAATTCATTATTAACCACTAATTATAGATAGATGGCTAAAAAAGTTTAATAGCCCTAATCCTCAACAGATGGTTAATAACCATAAGTTATCCCTAATCCCAATGGTAAATAACTCATAGATAGTCCCCAATAGTTTTGGGATGTTTTGCGGGGTGATCCCTTTTTCGCAGGCCGATCCTGACCCCAGCGGAACTGGCTCCAACATGGCGGGGCAGAGCAACGACACGGCGCTGCTGCAGCTGTGGCAACACTTCGGACGCCACGGCGCACGTCGCTTCGAAGTGCCCCATTGGGGATCCAGGCGCCGGCGGGCCAAACGAAGTTACTACGTTTTAGAGTGATTTGAGTAGTTTACAAAGATTTTTTACTAGATTGGATGAGCAATTGTTTCTTTTTGTTGGGAGACACCCAGAATTGGGGCATTTTACTGGAAGACAATGGTGAATGAATTCTCCAGAAGATGGGGATACAATCCACAGAAAACTGGGATTGAACCCACAGAAAATGAGAATTGATAGCAAGGAGTCAAGGATCAAAGTTGTAGCGATTCTTCGGTTTTGCTTTCATACCGTTGGGGCGAAGCTCTTCAGGGGGGTCGCAGCAGTTGTGGCTGTGCCTGCTGGATTTGCAATGATTTGTTAAGTGGTTTGGATTTTTTGAGGGTCAAATCCTTGTATTTCCGACAGGATCCGAGAGTTACTTGGATGATCATACAACTTGCTGGCTGGTGAGGATGTTTAGACGGGGGAAAGGTCACAGTTAATAGCGAAATAATGGTGAAGTAATAGCGAAATAGGGAAACAATAAGGCACAATACGAAAATAATAGAGAAATAGAAGGGAACTAACAGCTCGCTCTCATAGGTTCGAGCACTTTCTCTTCGTGATTTGCGGCTTCTGCTGTTTCTCCGTGGTTTGCGGTTTCTGTTTTTTTCTTGGCTGTGTTCAGTTTCTTCGTGGCTTCCAACTTCTGTTTCTCCGGCGTTTCTTGGTTTCATGCCTGCGTGCTCGGAATGTTCGCGGAATATTTCAAAGTGTGAAGCGGAACTTGTTTTTTCTCTTGCAGCTCCTTGCAAATAATAGGGAATAATAGGGAAATAAAAGAGAAATTTATAAAAGGAAATTTTCGGGGAATACTATGGAAACATCAGGGGTCGGGCCTATAGGAGAAATAACAAGGAATGATAGGGACATATATAATGAGATTATAATGGCGAACCAATAGGGAGATTATGAAAATAATCGAGAAGTGGCAACACAGAAATATTCGGAAAATAATTCGGAAATAGCAATAGGGTGAAAAGTTGGAAACAATAGGGATTAATCGGCAAATACTGTTTTTGGGAAATGATAGTGATAGGGAAATAATCCGGAAATAATAGGGAATTCAATGGAATTCATGGAATGATTTTTTTAAAAATGATTTTTTGATTTCCCATAGATTTACCATCGTTTTTCGATCATTTGCCATGGTTTTCAGCCAGGGGTCCCTCCAAAAAGTGATGTTTAAATTTGCAAACCCAGGGCCTGCTCTTTGGCGTTCGAAGCTGCTAAGCGTGGCTCTGACCTCTTCGTACACCGCAGTGCCAGCGTGGCGCCTGCCAGGCGAAGATCCGTCACATGGATAACGTGGGTGTATTATTGGTTAATGTATGATGATTAATAATATATGTCAATATCACGCGGATATATAAATTAACCGGTTCAAAGGCAATCCTAATCCCCCAGGGGATTGCGGGTTAGACGGTTTAAGGATTGCAGGTGGTATCCCCTGCGCTAGTTGAAATTCGCCTGGTTACTTTGTGTGGTGGCTTTAGCATAGATCACTTTGCTTAAATTGGAAGAACCGCAAGGTTTCCATTGAGATTTTATTTCTACAAACTGCAAAACTAAATGTGTGCCTTACCGAAAAGAGTTCCAGCAAAAGCGTTCGTGCGCTTTGTCTTGGAAAATGACATAACCTCTGAAACGTTTACTTTGGCTGCCAAGTGCCTGTCTTGGTGTTATTTTGCGGCTTCTGCCGGGAGGTTCGGAGAAAATGACATAATTAACCCCCGAAGCGGCTACTTTGGCTCCCAAGTGTCTGTTTTGGGGTTATTCTGCGGCTGCTGCCGGAAGGTTTGGGGAAAATGAAATAACATCCGAAAGAGTTACTTTGGCTTCAAGTGTCATAATTATTCTGCAGCTCCTGCCGGGAGGTTTGGGGAAAATGAAATAACCCCAAAATAGCATGTTCAGACCCCAACACGGTTTTTTAGGTTTATTTTTCCTGACGCGCAAGAGTCATGTCAAACAGCAAACAACACCAAATAACATGTTCAAATTCCAAAATTAGTTAATATCTAAGAGGAATAACCCCAAAAAAATAGAATGTTCAGACTCAAAGTCGCCTTTTTGGGTGCTATTTTGCTGATACAGGCATCTGACAAAGTCGTACCTGTTTTAGGAAAAGATCGTTGTGCCTTGGGGAAGTGTGTTTCGCAAAAGTCGTGCCTTTAGCAAGAACGCATAGGAACTCTGGAGTTTGGATATGTAACCTGTTTTCTTATGAGATCACGTAGCTGATCACTATTAGCATGCAGAAATCCAGGTTTTGGGTATGTTGATTAGTTATAGGTAAGATGGCGTTGAGCTGGTGATTTGATGATTTTGGATGTTCATCCCAGATTATCCTGTTTTTCCCGAATGCGTAGCGAAGAGTTTGTTCGCCTCGAGTGGCTCGTCGCGTCGTCGTCGGGTCGGCGTCGCGTCGTCGCGTCGTTAATTCCGTGTCTATGGGGGAAGCTGCAAAACCTCTCTTTTTCGAAGGTTTCCAGGCAGGTTGTCATGTCGTTTTGCGTGGCAGGCGTGGCACTTTGTCACATTCCAACCTGTTTGATAACGTGTCGAAAGTGTCAAAATTGCAGGAAGTCTCGCACGAAATGCTCGTTTTGCTGCGCCCACGTATCTCGTATCGAGTCTCTGTAGTAGCAATGGGGGAAGCTGTGGAAAGCAAGCTTTGTTGCTTTGTAGCACAAAGTAGTACTGGGAAGTAGTTTGTGCAAGCTTTGTAGTACAAAGTAGTACTGGGAAGTGCTTTGTGCAAGCTTTGTAGTACAAAGTAGTACTGGGAAGTGCTTTGTGCAAGCTTTGTACAAAGTAGTACAAAGTAGTACTGGGAAGTGCTTTGTGCAAGCTTTGTAGTACAAAGTAGTGCTGGGAAGTAGTTTGTGCAAGCTTTGTAGTAAAAGTAGTACTGGGAAGTGCTTTGTGCAAGCTTTGTAGTACAAAGTAGTACTGGGAACGTGCTTTGTGCAAGCTTTGTAATACAAAGTAGTACTGGGAAGTGCTTTGTGCAAGCTTTGTAGTACAAAGTAGTACTGGGAAGTGCTTTGTGCAAGCTTTGTAGTACAAAGTAGTACTGGGAAGTGCAAGCTTTGTAGTACAAAGTAGTGCTTTGTGGTACAAAGTAGTACTGGGAAGTGCTTGTGCAAGCTTTGTAGTACAAAGTAGTGCTGGGAAGTAGTTTGTGCAAGCTTTGTAGTACAAAGTAGTACTGGGAAGTGCTTTGTGCAAGCTTTGTAGTACAAAGTAGTGCTGGGAAGTAGTTTGTGCAAGCTTTGTAGTGCAAAGTAGTACTGGGAAGTGCTTTGTGCAAGCTTTGTAGTACAAAGTAGTACTGGGAAGTAGTTTGTACAAGCTTTGTAGTACAAAGTAGTACTGGGAAGTGCTTTTTGCAAGCTTTCTAGTACAAAGTAGTGCTGGGAAGTAGTTTGTGCAAACTTTGTAGTACAAAGTAGTACTGGGAAGTGCTTTGTGCAAGCTTTGTAGTACAAAGTAGTACTGGGAAGTAGTTTGTACAAGCTTTGTCGTAAAAAGTAGTACTGGGAAGTGCTTTGTGCAAGCTTTGTAGTACAAAGTAGTGCTGGGAAGTAGTTTGTGCAAGCTTTGTAGTGCAAAGTAGTACTGGGAAGTGCTTTGTGCAAGCTTTGTAGTACAAAGTAGTGCTGGGAAGGACTTTGTGCAAGCTTTGTAGTACGTAAAATAGTACTGGGAAGTGCTTTGTGCGAGCTTTGTAGTACAAAGTAGTACTGGGAAGTGCTTCGCGCAAGCATTGTAGTGCAAAGTAGTACTGGGAAGTGACCCAGAGAATAGAAAAATAATGATGCAGAATCCCAGCGTTGACATGCAGGTTGCACATGAGAATGACATTATAAGAGAGTAGAAAATCAATATTTTCATCCATCGCGTTCCATTGTGTTTCATTTGTGTTTCATGTCTAAAATGCATGGTTACACGTTTATTGAGGACAGCGTTCCATGCAGAAAAGCGTTTAGGCATGACTTAGGCATGACTTCTTGGATACAGCGTTTACAATGGTAAATGCCATTCAAAAACATGCTAGGCATGACTTAGGCGTGACATTGTCGCTTCCCTGTACGGAGGTTTTCATCTATATAACGGGAATTAACACCAAAATATCAGGTTCAAACTCTAAAACACCTTTTTGGAAGTACTTTTGATATCTTTTGATCACATGGAACGAACACCGAAGTCGCATGACAGAATTATTTTGGGTAAGTTTCTTGTTCCCGCATGTGAATCAAGCCGAAAGACATTCCACAAATTTCACGGGATTACGGATTGAACGGATTACTGTGGCAAACGCGGATTGGACGGATTAGGGATTGGGATTTGGCCGACTGCAACTTTGAACACCACAGGAAATACGTATATAAACTGATGAAGAACCAATGAGGATATAATATGACATATCATGACTTTAATTATATAATATCATGGAGACATAGTGGGGGATTGAACCAGTTTAGCGAGAGCAAAAGGATGCGTATTGGCGCGTTTCTTTTAATTAGGGTACCCCCAAACCGTTGGTTCCGAAGAATCAGTTCTTCCGGAACTATCCATTTTTTAGGAACTGCGCTTCGAGTTCCCGAATAAAACTGCCAATATATATAATATATTCATTGGTTCCACATTAAACATGATAAAATCTAGATGATTTGGGGTGGCCCCCAATCGTAGGATGCTCAAGTGGCCCCAGTGGTGCAAAATTTTTGAACCAAAGGGTGGTCAGACATATTTTTGGCATAGAAGGTGGAGTAATCGTGCACGAATGGTGGATTCAATAACCTTGCGCATTACTGTTGTCGAATCAGCATTTCTAGGAGACTCGACTGCTATATCAGTCCTTAGATTGATTTGTCTCCTGTTTTCGCCATGGTTATGGGCAGTCCGCCAATCCCATGGACTCAACAATCCCTTTAGCTCGCTTTGGTGACGTTCAGGTGCTTTCCCGATGGCAGCCTGGATTTGGTCTACATAGATGCGGATCATAAATGGTGGAGCGTGCTGCAGGATACCTGTCGATTCGGAGGGTAATAGCGAAGAAGCAAACAGATGCAATCCAGAAGACAGCGTGAATCTGAATTGAGCTTGCAACTACAAAGAAACAGGTGCGCAAACTTCTAAATAATAATAAATAATAGATGAGTGAATCTAGTCACCCACGTGTCGTTCAAGGTGTTGGATAGCGAGGGAAACCTAAAAAAACAGATTTTGGAAAAAAAACACAATAGACCAAAACCAAAGTCCACGCAGGTTGACTGAAGTCTTTGGGCAAGTTTTCTGTTTGTACTCCAGCTGCAGTATCCAGAGCATCTAGAAGTGTTTTTCTTTTTTTTATGTCATAAATTGGTGGTTTGCTCGGTGGCTTGAACCATGGGAATACTTACAGCATAGCAACAGGAACTTCTGGAATCCCTGGATACCCGAACACAAATGAACAATCATCAACCAAAAAACGGGTACAGGCTCAACAGTTAAGGCAGTCAAGACCCGGAACCACTGAGTCTGTTGTGTGTTGTTCAAATTTAGTCGTTGAAATTGTTGAAATAGCCAACATTTTGGAGTGCCATAGTGTTTGTTGGATCCATCTCCAAAGATCTCCAAAGATCTCCAGACATTTTGGCCCATCTTGGCCCATCTTGGCCCATCTTGGCCCATCTTGGCCCATCTTGGCCCAGGACCTAACAACCTGGTGGCCCAAGATCAAACCCGGTGGCCTCATGTGCCTGGGCATGGCCGGAGACGGCATGGATGGGGACCGCTGAGGCTCATTGATATTGGGCAACCCATGGCAACCCCCACTCCGCCAGTCAGATGTCCCCCAATCCATCTTGTTTTGGAATTTTGTGGGCGAAGCCCTACGGTTTCGGATGAACTTCTAGCATCTTCGAACAAGATCCATTTCCGGCGGGACGGGGGAAACTGCACTTTTGAGATGTTGCAGTGATTAGTCTCCAAAGTACTTGCTGTATTCCTCCTCTTGCAGTCTTGAAACTAAGGCAAAACCATCTTGTTCTATCCGTTTTTGGATCCACTTGCCTGCCCAACACTCTCCTCGCAGCGACCAAGGATGGGACATGACTTTCATTTCAATCCCCTGATGGTGCCTTGGTTCGATGTTGCCAAAACAGGACAATCCGGTTAATTTGTAGTTGTCGGTGTAATTTTTCCGGGAGGATCCTAGTGTATTCTCCGATTCCTTAATCTTGCTGCGTAATTTAGAGCGAGGGCTGACGAGGTACGAGGTGAATCTTTGCAATTTAAGCGAGGTGAATTAATTAAATTCAGAAAACGAGGTGGGCAGAAATTGCTTTCAAAGCATGTGTAACGAGTGAAAAAAAACTTTTCGGGCTCCAGAAAGTTTTTTTGTTCCCATCAGAGTGAAAAACATAGAAAATTAAGGGTGCATTCAGACCCCGTGAAAAAAAACTTTCTGGAGCCCGAAAAGTTTTTTTTATCGTAATTTCAGTCAGTGCCCTGTGGTGGCATGCCCAGTTGTTCCAGGACTTCCGTATCGTTCTACAGTGAAACCACTGTTTAAGAACCCACTGCATTAAGAACCTCAGGGGCTGGATTGCTGGATTCAACTCTGTCTACCAGCTAATTGAAATAAGAACCCTAGGGAACCCTGAAATTTTGGTCAATAGTTCTTATTCACCTTTCCCAGGTAGCGCGACTAGATTCTAAAATTGCTAAAACTTGAGGTGTAGCGGGGTATCTTGGTGCTGCTGCTGCAGCTTCTCTTCTCTGGGGTCGAATTTGGGGGAACCGAGCCCCTGCAAATCCGCTTGTAAAAGAGGCATCTCGGAAACAGGAAAAAACTTTTTAGGCCCTGAAAAGTTTTTTCAGCATCCCCAAGCCTCTGGAGCCCAGAGCGTTGCTGCAACGACGACAAAGATAATTCATCAAAGTTCAACCCAAAAGGAGGCAGAGGACTAGTTCGAATGGCTTGCGGTCGAGAAAGAAATGGGACGAGGGCTGAAATCCGTTTTGAATGTAACGAGGCGAGGACTGAAGATTTAATCAGAGGGGAAAAGTAGATTTAAGACGAGGAAACCGTTTTGAATTTAAAGTAAATTTTGCAGATCTTGGGTTCCTCAACCACCCTGCCAATCTTAGACTACTTCATTTCCTGCATAAACCATCACAAACCTCGTTGTTTTGCCCACTTTCAGACATGTTCCCAACTTCCACCCACCAACGGTCGACCCAGGAGCGGGCATCCCTGGGCACGGGCGATGTGAACGACGTGCCCCTGGCAGTGGGCGCCTTCTTCCGTTGGCCCACCATGGTCTCGTTGCACTCCGGGTTCGTGTGGTGCCTTGGGCAGGGCTGACCTCCGTCTGGGAAAGCATGCCCCAAAATGGTGATTTTGATACGAGCGAAAAATGATGTTAGACCATGTCAAACCATCAAATTTGGATAAATTTGGATTTACCATGATTTACCATGATTTACCATGATTTACCCGATTTTCAGACAAACCCACATGGATAAGATATGGAGACCTATCAAATATTGAGCTGATCCTTAGGAATCTTGCAGTAGACATGATGGTTGTGACCAGTGACTAAGAATATAGGCTTAGAGGATCTTATAGGCATCATTCTGATAGTGGATGGCATGTTGGGTGGGTGCAGCTTCTAAAAGTGCTCTCTATTGTTTTGCAACACAATGGCTGAAAATGTTTCTAAAACACTGACGACACGAGCGAAGCGTTGTGCCAGGTGAGGCAAGGGATAGGAAACATCCGTCCAAAGTTTCCAAGTAGGACACGCGCCAGCACATCAATACGGACTTTTTGTTTAAGGACATGGCGGTCTTGAAAGGTACAGTATGTCCCAGAAACAATGGAGAGATATCCCAAATCCTATCAATTTGATGATTCACCTCACATTGATTTCAGCAATGTTCCTTTTTGGAAACACAATTTCAGCGTACTGTTCATGCATTATTACTGCATATTAATGCCATGATCCACGGCGCATCCTTTGAGGTCGACGCAGAAACCCCTAGATGCCATGGCCAACGCCACCGAGACGCGACTCCGACAGCAGGATTTGTGCGATTTGCTGCGGAGGACTGCCTTTCTTGATCTGGGTAAAGTGATGGTTGGTGAATGATCATTTTGGATCATTTTGAGATATCTACCCAGAAAAAGTGATACCATCATTTGGGATGCGAATTTTTGGGTAACAGTCCCAAAATGACCAGTGCCCAGATATGCTATGATATGCTATGTTTCTTTTTTCCAGCTGTGTTTTTGTTTGGATTCAAAGGAATTCTACTTAAAGGAATTCTATTTCAGGCACGGTTTTCTGGAAGGACGAGCATTATTGGCAACTGGTGGCTACGTATCCATATCGAACAGGATGAACAGGACATTATGTTGATTTTTTTTTCTATCCTTGACCAGTTCATTTCCATCAAGATTTGTCCCTTCTGCAGGAAGCTTCAACCTCATTGGGAATTTGAAATCTGCGGATCCACCCAACCAAAATAGAGTCAAATCAATCAAATCAACTGATATATATATATTTATGCCTGGGCTTTGCCCGGAACCGCAACCACGACAGGCAACGCATCATCATCATCATCATCATCATCATCATCATCAAACCCTTGTTGAAGATCTTCAAAATGAAGATAGAAGTTTAACGGGGGTAGGAGAATTAAATCCTTATTGAAGATCTTCAATGAATGTAGAAGTTTAACGGGGTGGGAGAATTAAACCCTTATTGAAGATCTTCATTGAATGTAAAGTTCAACGGGGGTGGGACTTTAATATTCCCTAATACCTTTGTTGATCTTCTCAATTGAATGTAAAATTTAACGGGGGTGGGAGTTTAATATTCCCTAGTACCTTTGTTGATCTTCCCAATTGAATGTAAAGTTTAACGGGGGTGGGGGGTTTAATATTCCCTAGTACCTTTGTTGATCTTCCCAATGGAATGTAAAGTTTCACGGAGGTGGGAGTTTAATATTTCCTAGTACCTTTGTTGTTTTTCCTATAGGAATTTAAGGTTTAATGGGGGTGGGAGTTTAATATTCACTAGTACCTTTGTTGATCTTCCCAATTGAATGTAAAATTTAACGGGGTTGGGAGTTTAATATTCCCTAGTACCTTTGTTGTTTTTGGGGTCAACGCCCCGAGGCGGGCGTGGTTTTTTCCACGTTTGTGCTCTTTGGCAGTATACGTGCTTAACGCTCTTGCCGATTGTAAGATGACGCTACCGAAGACACGTTGCCCAACTTTGTTGCTGACGTCTTGCTACCTTGACCGGGAGGGGGGGTGGGGGGGGGAATGATAACGTTCCTTGTAACTATAAGATAACGCAAACTGGGTTTTAATCCGACTGGGCAAGCTCTTAAAACTTTGGGCAAGCTCTTAAAACTTTGGGCAAACTCTTCAATACATCCAGAC